GAGGAGCAAGCCAGCCTTTCAGGGGACTCCTGACAGCGTGATGCAGGGGACATGTGCACCGGCAGGCACATGGTATTGGGAATTATGCAGAGCGGGCCCAAAGCCAGGTACAGTGCACACTGGGTCAGGCCTGAGTTTCTGACATAACCTTGTCAGCTGTTAAATCTTTATTTACTGTGCGAGATCAGCTAAACAGGCGTCTTTCCCGGCCAACACCCTGTTCCCTTTCCATGCAGCTGCACGCATTGAGACATGCGTGCTACCGGGACTACCGGCCCCGCACCTGGAGCTAGGGAGAGGTCTGCCTGTTGACATCACGTCTTTGAAACACCATCTACAAACAGGTTAAGGTTACTAGGCTATTGACTCAAGACATCAAGTCAAATCTTAAAAACAAATATATCTCGTCACATATATACGACAAGAGCCTGTCTTCAAGGTAGGAACTTAGATGTGATTGTTTGTCCAATAAAAACATTTTGTATTTTTCTCTGACTAATATTGTTGCATTCTGATCCCTCTCAGCCGATCGCAAACTACACTACTTTGTTGTGATTTTATTAAAGTATGGTGTGAATATGTGGGCAAGCAACACAATATGGCTTTACATTGCATGTTGAACCTAAATAAAGTTATATGCAACTGACCAACTGGAATGGTGTGGACAGCCTTATTTAAAATGTGTACGTGTGAGTCAATGTTTGTGCGAGTAGAGAGGGGGGAGGTTATAAGATCGGTGAGATGACACACTGGTAGAACAGTGGAAGTTCTCTTGCTATATCTCTGTGGTTTTACGGATTTATATCTCCTTTAGAGACGGAGAGGACTGCTGTGTGCGCAAAAACAAATGACTGTCATTTCCAAGAGTTTGGAGCAGCAGCAGGCATCAAATCCAGCTGTCATGCCAGGCCTTGGAGTTTGGACTTTACATCAGACCACACACTTACCGAAAGCGGCGCAATAGTGTCCTATCCAAGCTAAACAAATCCACTGTCAGATAATGCCCCCCAGGGCACAGCACCGGGGGGGTCAGCTTTGACTACAAACACATCAAACGGCAATGGGTGTTAACTCAAATACAGGTGAGCACAGATGGAAAAAAAAAAAGAATAAACGGACGACAAAACTGTGTCCTGCATTACCGCAACTGCCTACGCAACTATACAACCTATTGCACCTCCAACACAGCAGAATGGCCTTTCTACTGTAAAGGTGGAAAAATGACAAAGTCTGAATCACATATCACTTAAAACACAGAAATAAGTGGCTGTTAGTGGTGACAAAACATTTGTCCTCAACTGAACAGGTTTGCCCGTGTACGTGTGTCAAAATTAAAAGCAAAGAGACGAAAAGAGAAATAACAGTCAACACACGCTTCAGCGGTCACATGGCGTGAAGCCACTGCTCCTCGGCCACCAAACAGTTAATATGCAAACAAGGCTGGCAGCTCTGTGAGAGGAGGAGTGGCTTCCTTTAGTACAGATGAGGGAGGGGAGTAGAGGAAGGGAAGGGGAGCCGCGGAGCTGCTGAAAGGAAGCGAGTGGAAAAAAGTGTGTGTGTGTGGTGTGTGTATCGAGAGAGGTAGGGTGGCTGCAGTGGCACAGGTGTCTGTCTCTGAACACTCCATTACTTCCTCATCAAAGAGCCTGCATTAGTGCGCCACTGCGCTCATTTTTCGCCTGTGCCACCGTGAGAGTCTCCACTAACCTAACTCACCATTAGGGAAATGAGGGATGAGAGCCAGCAATGAAGTGAAAATGACAAGATAGCACCCACTGGTGCTTCAGAGTACAGCCCGCTGCTATACTCTCACACACAGAGAGGAAAACCATCGCCAACTGGAATGTAATGTCACTCAGTGGTAATAGCAACATTATCCATGGTGCACCGAATGACAAAAAAAAGAAAAAAAAAAGGCCTTTTGATCCATTGTGCACTTATTCTGCTGTCGACACTTCACATGTCTGGTTATTGCTTATTTCTGCTTTAAAACACAACTAGGTTTGAACTACATAATGCTGCTTGCACTGGCTAATAAGCCTGCCGTAGTGTCCTTGAGCAAGCCATCAAATCCACACAAAAGCACACAGTCATTTTCTTTTAAGCCGATAACATTTGGGCTCAAATTGTCTGGCCAACACCTCTCATTTTCCATTATGTGCAAAATGTCATCCAGAAGTTGAGCCAAGGTCTGCTTACTTTCTTTGATCTATGGCCAATAATCCGAAACGTTTTCATTTAAAATGATATTAAAAGGGATGCATGAAAATCCACATTCTCATAATTGATCATCAAAACTATCACTGATTGATTTAATTAATCAACAAGTGAAATAGAAACAGCCCTTGCCAACACAATAGTGATGCACTATTGATCGGATCTCTCACGTGCGTCAGACAGCAACCAGCGTCTCTCACAGGGTCACAACTCGTCTGTGGTGGTTTGACATCCAGCACAGCATTCACAAAGTAACAACTGATTATTACCAAAGACATTTTACACATCTGTAAGATTGCGCATGAATGCTGCATTCTGGGAGCCATTTTGATCAACCACACAAAAGAGTGCAGACTCCTGAAAGGTGTGTGTATATATAGTATTTATAGTGTTTTTAGTATAGTATATATTTTTGGCTCCCAGAATGCAGCGTTCATGCACAGTTTTTCAGATTTTGCTAATGAGCTGTTAATTAGTGAATGCTACGCTGTGTTGCAGCAGACTCTCAGGTGTTAGATGTCAAACCATTAAAAATCTGTGCCCTCTTCTACAAAATATCATAGGTACCATAAATAAACAATGCCTGATTGCGTCACATTTCACACTTCAGGAGTATATTTCTCAGTGCTGTTGCCTGTTTACTAAGAATACCTCGCCTCACCCATCACTAGATCTCATACCTTTGGCTTCGCTAATGATAAATAGATGGCACTGTTATGTCTAGGTGCAAAAAGATTAGGCCCCGCTAAAGGCCAGTTTGCAGCCACGCTCAAGTGTGAGACAGCGGCAGGGTTGATAAATGAAAGGAGACATGATGCACACAGCAATGCTTCCTCAACCAATTAAATACAGCACCACGCATTAATGATCCTTTATTCGGGGCCAAGAGTAGCAGTAGCTGGGCTGAGCATTGTGCCCTCTAGAGAAGCTGCTGAAAGTCTAACGGAGCGTTGTTACTACCGTCTGGTTGGCTCCACTGTGACCAGAAAGCCTCACCGAGCCAGAGAGAAGAACTGCCCGGGGAGAAACAGGAAAGTATAAACTCACAAAACTGAAACTTCAGTGGCTGTATCATTGTAAGAAAACAACTAAATTATAATACTTCCATAAATGTTTTTTTTGTCCGTTTTTTAAGCAACACTTAAAGCAGCTTCCTCATTCACCTTCCTACAATCAAGGGACTTGAACACATACAGTACCAGCGATGCCGTCGCGTACTTGCTCGGCTACAATAACCAATTAAAATGAATTATTGATTGCAAACTGGACACGCTCAATTTAAACTTCCAAATATAGTTTTGAGAAGGAGTGTAAAACACCTCACAGTTACATAATATCAGTGAGGTCATTTAGGAATCTTCAGCCTGTTTCGACGATTGCTGTATCCTCAGGATTAACCACGCAATAAGCCCAGAATGTAAAAAGAAGAAGTAAGCAAAGCTCAAGTCGGACAACTGCAATAACCTCAGAGGATACAACACTACCAGCAGTGTGTGTGTCTGTCTGACTTTATTTATAGTAAACAGATGTGATGCAAACACCCGGTTTCCTTCCCTTGTTCTCCCCACACACACACACACACACACACACTTAATTCTGTGCAAATAAAGCAATTAGCACACTGGATACAATTAACCAAGCGATCCAGCGCCGTGTCTCACCACTACAGCCCTGCTACACTCCCAATCAACTCCAATCCAACAGGCTTTAACAAAGACAACCTATTAGCGCACTATTATGCAGTCCACTAATTGACTCCCTTTTTAATCAAGTTCAGCACAGACAGCCATTCCTATATAGCTAATAAAGACGTTTAGGAGCGTACAGATCCATGTGAAGTGTTACAAGTGCAGCATGTTGTACCTCGTTATCTTGCTAGGGCAGAATGGACCACTAGGGGGGGGACTGTAAGGAGAAGGGTTAGGAATGCAAGGCAAAGAGAGGAGACGCCTGCCATCAGCTCTCAGGGAGTTTTAAAAGTAAAAGAAAACAAGTTGTGATTTCAATATCTATGTAGCCTGACCACTGTTTTGTGTCTTGGTTTAGTTTGGCTTCTTGGTGTTGCTCATTGTCTTACTAACCCCTGTAAAGAAAAGACAGCTTCGACTTGGGTTTGAGGGTAATGCAGAATACATCAGCCCTTCTTGTATCTCTTGTAAGTGTGAGCTCAGAGGGCAGTCGCTCAGCAAGGTTTAAGGAGATATTTTAAGAGATAGCACTGTGGGCACACGCTGCTGAGCATGAGCCAGAGTGAAAGCAAGAAGCCATCCATCCACCAAGGGACACCCTTCACAATTAGTGGCCGACTTGCCAGCAGTGCCATTCTTGTGGATCCTTTCCTGTTCAAGCCTAGGTCACCACTCTAAATGCAAGTCTCTTTTGTGTTAAATAAAACATGGGTACACTTTTTAGAGGTAGGTAACCTGTGTAGCCATCGCATGAGAGGTGGACATCTTTTTACTGCCCTCAAGATTTGATTATGATTCTCCTGTCAACGATTCCAACGCACCACGATTCTGTATGGATCTCAATGCGTCGCATCCTCAATTTTCTATACTACTGCACATGGCTACTGTTTCAAGAAGTATTATCAGCAGTCAGATAATTCTTAATTCACTTTTTATTTCGAAAGTGCTTTCAAAAATAAGACTACAACAGTCTTGACCCACCTCAGTGCATCAACATTAAAAAAAACAAAAGATGTGTGTTGTAATCTACAAAAATAAGCTTTTCATGTATCAGCTCAGACAGGCTTTTTCTTTACTCATAGTTCTTCTCTTCCTACTTGGCTTCGTCACTGAATCTCCTGACAGGGTTAACATCACCATGGATGAATTTCAGCCAGCATGCACATTTTCTTTCAGCCTGACATTGTTAAATCGAACCATCCAATATCGGTGGCAAGAGCAGCACTGTATCGAAGTAGTGGTTCCCGTCCGCATAGCGAGTCAGCTTATAATCGATTCCATTTCACATACTATCCTTGCAAAGTAAAACAACATTTACTAAATTGCTAAAAAACATCAGTAGCTGAGTGTCATTTTCTCCCACAGAGGATTTACTGGAATATATGCTCCGGCCTTTTAGAAAAGGTCTTACAAACAAGGTTCATTCTAGAGAAGCACCGACACCGATATCAGAGAGATACCGACTCAAATAGCTGGATCAGGTATCGGTGACAATGAGCCGATCTGGTATCAGATACCTTTATTTTAATACCTAACGATTCAGTACATTTATATCTATGTACTCATTTGTTGTATTTTGTTTTACAAAGCTCAAACAGGTTGTAAAAAAAGCCAACATTTCAGCTTGATCATCTAAACCACCTAATATAAAAAAGGTAAAAACAAAAGTGACCTCAGCCTTAATGTCAGCAGTAGTCCCTCCTTGTGAAGGAAAACTGTCAGTACTAAAGTACAGCACATACAGCAGGTCAAAGGTCAACCAGGAAATCAGGCCTATAAACTGATGGACGGCGCCTGCTTCCCAGATCTCAGCAATTACTCAGCTACAAACAATGTTATCATAACCAGTAGAACAATGGTCAACCCTACGGAAAGAAGATTGATGTTGTAAAAACATATAGGGTCTCCTCATGCAGATATCTAAACGTATCAAAAGATTACTTATTAACCAGCATTTGATTGACAATCTTCTCCCAATAACATTGACTTGAAAGCACCACAGGTTCCCTCCAAAGTAGTGACAATTTTGCAGATGTTATACGATTCATCTACCCCAGAGGAATTAAATGTCTTTTGCATATTGAACACTTCATGGTTTTTGTGTACTTTACATGATGCGTCACCAACTATATTGGCAAGCGTCTTCTTTAAGGCTGTTTTTGGAACCGTCGTCGTTCCGAGTAATGGCGGGGTGCTCTCTGAATCAGAGACGGCACAGCAGGTCAGACACCAGGCAGTGAAGTGAAGCTGAGCTGCGCAAAACAAGCAAGCCGGATGATGCCATTCATTAATGGGAACATCGGTGCAAACTGACGAGTGGAGCTGAGAGGTGGTCCCTTGGGGAGGGAGGGGGAGAGAAAAAAGAGAAGAAGAGAGGCCGAAAGCGAGGGGAGGAATGAGGTGGAGGGGAAATTCAGCAAGGGGCTTACTGCCAGACCTTTACAACTCCTTCATTATTGAAGCAGTGCAAAGGCAGAGCAGGGCCACTGCCTGCACAAAAAAGAAAACACACACACACACACACACATGATGAAGTAAGGATTTTTTTTTTTTTTCCCTGCTCCGATTTGTACCTCTCGCTCAGTGTGAGGCCAGTGTCCATGGAGTGGATCTCCACTGGAATGGTAGAGGGCAGCCACACAGGCTTTATCCCACAAATATATTGAACAGGATCACCTCTACTCCATTTACATGAGCAGAATGAAGAATAAATAAGAATATATAGCTAAAACTGTGTTTTAGGAATGTTGTGTTTCCCGTTTAAATTTAGTTTGAAATCGAAAGCATATACATACATACATACACACCCTTACTTCAACTCGTTAATTTGGTAAACATTGGTTGACAAAGGATGAGAAATAATAAAAATTTGAAGCGGTTCAATTTTGAAACCTAATGAGTACTCCATCACTGAGGGTAGTATGTAAGATAACTATATGAAATTGCCATTACAAAAAAAATCCTAATCTTTGATTTTTATGAATAATTTCTCACTTAGCAAAGTGAAGGCTATAATAACTACAGACATGCTTGCTCAATGAAATGCTGCATCAAGGTAGCAGGAACACACTGGTGTTGGTAGATATTGTGTGCGACAACATTAATGCTGGGTATAGGAGTCTAGGTCTACGTCGAGGAAGCCTGCAGAGCAACATGAGGAATACCAAGAAGGGCTTTACTCTCACATGACTGCTGTATGACGCTTATTTATTTCTCATGATTAAAAACACTTTTAGCAAAGTGCTAGAAAGCAAACAAGAAAGAAAAAGAATAGAACACTTTTTATGAAATACCAGGTGAACCACTAAAACCATTATACTTTTTTCATCTTTGTTCATTTAAATGTACCTTTTTGCGTGTATGATGGTACTGTAGCTTGACTCACAACACAGAGTGATGAGAGATTACGACATACCGGTTTCAACAGTCAACTTTCTTTCAAATTGCTGTAAAATACGCGCATAACACTCAACAAAAGCGACTTGCAACATAGGCATCCATGGCAACTTGCAAATGACTTCCTGACACAAACCTGTTTGCTTAACTTACAAATCAGTAACCAGTTAGCCAACTGACGTCTCGGCAGAAAATGTCA